AAATGCTATTCTAAGTCTTAAAACTAAATGCAAAATTTCTTGTTACTACTCATTTGTCTGCGTCGCAGTTTTAAGATATGTCCCATATTGTGGCTTTATTGTCACAAAATAGTCTAAAAAGAAAAACTGGTCCAGAAGGAGAAGTGAAATTATATTTTTTTCTTAAGACTGCCCAAACCTTAATTCAACAAATACATTCAGTAAATATTTTAAAACTCTGTATAACACATTAAGAGAGAGAAGGTATAGCAGGTAATTCTCAAACTAGACAAACTAGACCTACCCTTCTCAAAATCCAGGGGACAACCCTGGGGATCACCAACAGTCTTTGCTACAAAACTGCCAATGATATTTCTCAGGTGTGTTTAGAAAGTTGAGAAACAATGGTAAGCTGCTCAGTTCTAGAAGTCCTATGCTCAGTAGTAAAAGTGAAGATGCATCTCTTAAACTAAGATCATTTGTGAAGACCTCTTCACCATCTGCAGATGCCAGACAGGTTCATATAGGCTTTAACAAGTATTCCACTCTTCATACTTTTCTGAAAGGAGGCAGTCTTCTCAAAGTCAAGAAATGCACTGTGGTTTCACACATGCATAGCCAACATTCTGGCCTAGCACAGGATTAGTAGCAGTAACTGCTGGTGCTACTAAGTACTTGCAAGGACCGTAAGTGGCTGGTTAATTCACCTATGGGGCTTCCCAGGTGGCTCAGTGGTAAAGAATCCGCCTGCCAATGCAGGAGATGCAGGTTTGAAACCAGGGTAGGGAAGATCCTTTGGAGGAGGGCATAGCAACCCACCCCAGTATTCTTGCCTGGAAAATTCCACAGACAGAGGATCCTGGTGGGCTACAGTCCATGAAGTCGCAAAGAGTCAGAGACGACTCAACCTGGTACACAATTCACTTATGAGCACTTGAAAAGACCCAATACCGTTCATTTTCTTGTTTCGTGAACCAACTACCCAAGAGGTCCAAACTTAACCTATGCTATCATTATGCACTTTTCTTTAAGTGGAAGAATAATCAAAGGTTTCTTTTCAAAGAGGAAAAACACACAAAAATGGGCACTTCCAATGAACCTCTTTCTCAACCTTTCAAAACTAAAGCGTTTCTATCACTGTCTTCCTGTCTATCTAAACACTTAGGAAATGGCCTGAGTAACACACAATATATTCTTTTTCCTATAAAGCCAATCAGGAAAACTGAAGAAATTTTATTATTCTCCTTTACATCAGAGCATTTTCACCTAACAAAGAGTTAGCAAATCTTTTCTCTAATCTAGACACGTTTCCACTATGTGCTTCTGTGCTCAAGATAGGCTCTCATTTTTCTACTTCCAAAACAAAATAGCTTAATAATGAATACAACTGCACTCTGCTTTTAATGGCTTATAAACTTACATGATTCTTAAATGCATAATTCATAGGACTATTAAATAACCGCAGCTACATACGCAGTCCTAAATAAAATATCAGGTTTAAAGTCCAAAGTACAAAGACCATTAAAAACAGTTTATTTGCCAAATCCACTGAGAAACTAGAAGCAACCTAACAGCTGTCTAAATAACCACAAAATATTAAAAACACTTCTGGCTCAATATAAATGACATCTGAAGTGAAATGTTGCCTCCTCCAACAGACATCTCATTTGTTTGTGTAGAACCATTTATACTTCATTTAAGCCAGCTGGTGTCTCCATTTGCAGACATGCATCAATGTCTACAGAACAATCTAAGTTCCTGTAAACCCTTCCCCATTCACAAGCTGCAATTTCCATTCTTAATGGCAAGTTTCCAGCAAATACAATGAGCTTTTACAAAGGAATTTAACTCTTCATCCAACTAAATTCCTAAGGCAGACTAGAGCAATGGTAACAAGTCAAATGATGTGTATAAACCTGTCTAGCAAATTCACAAATAGGTTGAGTTCACAGAACGATCACTTCATTCAGCCACTCATTCATTCACTACACAATTATGAATAACAATGTATTGGATTTGATTGACAGCCCCATATATTTTGATTTTATTAAAATATTTTTGCTCCAGGGAATGTCATGACAATCTTTTGGCTAAGTGATAGTATTCTGAGAGGTTTCAAAAACCAATCAACAAGGATAGAACTCTTTGAAATCAGTTCTCAATTAACTTGCCAGCATGAGTATGAATAAAGCTAAGTAGAGGCATTCATTTTTCCAACCACAGCAAATGGTTCCCACCCACCCCCCATCTCCAGTTATCATGCATTTTTCTTTTTCCACATACTGAGATTACTACAAACCTCACTGCCAACACCCTCAACGAGGATTGGACAAACATTTTCTGAAAAGAACCAGACAGTAAATATTTGGTCTTTGGGAAAATACAATCTCTGTCACAATTACTTGACCCCTCTTCTTGTAGCCGACAAGGGATATGGACAATACTTCAAAAAAAAAAAAAAATGAGTATGGTTGTGTTCCAATAAAACTTTATTTGCCAGTTCTTTCCTTTTTCCTATTACTAAGTTGCAATAGTTTGAAAAATATTGATTTAAATAACAGTCATCAAGTCAAACCTTCCTGAGATGACTAACAACCAAAAAAACCAAAGCTAGGGTTTAAAACAGATACTCAGTTCCTGAAGCGACAACATGACTTCAGCGACATATCAGAAAATACTTATATATAAATATATCCAGAGAACAAAAGTAAATTCATAATTATACACATGTTCTGAAAAAAAACTGCACTTCAGTAGTCTAGTTGTAAATTGTTTAAATTATATTTCAACCCACAGAAATGAAAACAAAGAACTCCCAAAGAGCCCCAGTCAATTTCATTTTGGTAAGTTGCCTTCCATTTCCAATCCTAGCTACTTATTTCTGCTAAAGATATATGGTATTCACTCTAGACAAGTTTAAAGAATCACCACTTTTAAAATAGGAATTTAAAAATGTCCAAGTTAGAGGACATGAAAACTGGGAAGCTCTGTGATACCTGCACAACACTGCAGCTCCCATTATGGCACCATTACCAAAACCACACAACAAGCCCAAAACCGGCCGTGTAAACATAAGGCTAAATTAAAGTACACGCAAAAAAAAAAAAAGTCACTCCAAGACCACAGTTAAAAAGGTAAATGAGAGCAACTCAAAAGTTAATCAGTTTTAACTGCTGTTCTCTAATTTAAATAGCTAGAAAAAACACTTTTCAGAGACTCAATAAATATCAGTTAGTGTGTGACTTTAGAATTCAGGATATGATCAAACTTACAGCAGATGTCAAAAACACCCTGAAAAACAGAAAACATACCAATATTTTGGAAAAATGTGAATCTGAATCAGCAGGCTTAAACAATTTCAATAATTCCAGTCATTTTACTATTATAATAGTAATGGTCCACTTAACTGAAATGTAAGAAAATGTGAAGTCAATTGCATTAGTGAATGCTTCAAATACATCAATGAAATAACAGATCTGCAAAGAATCACAATTCTTTCTGAATTAATTCCCTTTAAAGTGAGGACAAATATAGCGCCTAGCTGACTTACCTTATATGCTCAAGACTATTTTAGCACTGCAATATACTTTAACTCCCAAACTTAACACTGTATTAATTCACCCCCCTCGAATGAAATTTATTGCTGGCTAGCTAGAGCTATTTTTAAGTGGCCTTATTAAGTACAGATTCCACAGTATCATTTCATTTTCAGTGACAGTCTTTCACTAAAAAGACAAACTCTGAAAATAGTATTAATCCCCAGTAACTCATTCCTGACACTGTTCCAACAGCAAAAGATGGTAGACTAGGCATTTGAGGATCTCCCCATATATTCGGAAAAAGATATTTAAAAGTCTGACCTGAAAAATACCAAAACTTATGTCAATTCCAAACCAAGTTACCAGTAGTTAAATACTGCCCACAGATTTTCTTTTTAAAGCTAACGATAAATACGTAAATCAAGCTATGAAAAGGCTTTGTCTACAGATTTTATTATCACCAAAGGCTCACACATGAAACCTCTGCATGCTACACGCACAAAGGAAACATTTACACTACCAGTCCACATAAGCCTATCTTAAGACTATGCCAGGGGCACACAAGGATTTTCAAAGTACAGGAAAACACGGACACAAACGCAGTACAAAGCAGTCAAGAGGTAGCTCTCCAGTCACTTTCAGTAAATGTTTCAAGATGAACAGCAAAAATATTCTGAAGTCCCTTGGAATCCTGGGTTGATTTATTACTTTCAAGGCCTAGCCCTTCCCTTCCAAAGTACTTTCATGGGCAGAAATAAGGCACTCTTAACTAAAGCAACTACTCAACCCCGCATTTCAATATAACTCGCTTTTCATTAAAAGCTCAAGTTTCTCAAGATCTAGACATATATAGTGTGATCGTATTACAGTACTCGGGAAGAGCATTTTCTTTGTTGTTGACCCTGCTAGGGAAACAGGTCTTGACTCAGCCAAAGTGGCGTTCTTGTGGGTGATTAATGACAGGCCTAGATCTCACCCCAGTGACATCCCTCCCCCACCCCCACCCCTTCCGTACTAAAATCAGCCATGTCTGAACTGGAAGAGGGGCGGCCGCCTAGCCTCAAACCACCCAGTTCCAGAGTCAAAGGGTGCAACCAATCGATTCTGGGAGACAGCCATCGAGATTCGGGTGAAATGTGTGACCCCTCGTTCGCCTCGATTTCCGTGTAGCGCTCTCTCTGATCATTTCCGCTGGGGCTCTCCAGACTACGGAAACGCTCGATTCCAGTCATTCGGCCCAAAGAAAAAGACCTTCCTCAACCCCACAATACCCGGCAAGGCACCATCCCTCCCCACCCCACCCCCGGCCCCCTCCCCCGATATCAGGCCATTCCTATCAAGTCTCCGACATTCAAAGAGCGCCTTAAGAGAAATGTGGCCGCGGAGGACTCTGCGAAGGACGGAGAGCCGTCCTGCACCCCCAGTCCCGCGGCCTCATCGCTCGCCCCCCACCCCCCGGGCGGCCGCAAGACCGAGTCCCACCTGTGGTGAGACGGGAGGAGACGTCGCCGAAGGGAGATGGCTCCATTCGGAGATACTTCTGCGGCGAGGCGGCGGCGGCCGAGAAGGAAGCGGCGGTGGCCGCGGCGGCCGACGACGGGGAGGCGGCGGCAGAGGTGGGCGCCGACAATGGCGCACATCGCCTCCGCTTCGGGGACGCCGGGCTCAGCAGCGGGTCGAAATCCAGAGTCCGTTTCAGAGTGGCTCCGCACGCCATGGCCGGGGCGCCGGGCTCGGGTGGAGTCAGGGAAGGGAGGGCGAAGGAAGCGGGGAAGAGCGAGGCCCCGAAGAGAGCCTAGCCGACAGGCTCAACAGCGGAAAGGAGGGTGGCGGAGCGCCGGCGAGGGGAGCAGAGCCGCTGCCGCCGCCTGCGCGGCAGGGGCAGTGGCCCGGGCCGGCCGGGGCGAGAGCAGGAGGGGCGGTGGCGGCGGCGGCTCACGCTGGCCGCGTCAAGGGGGCTCTTCCGCCTCCTCAGGCGCGGCTCCCCCGGGAGACGCTCCGGCCGCCCCCGCCGTCCGTTCCGGCTTTGCGCCGCGCCTGAGGCGCTCCTGCGCTGAGACCGGCTTCTTCAGAAGTCAATACCAGCCCCGTGAGATGTGAGGCTAGAACGCGGCTCCTAAGACGCCCGAGTAGCTTCCAAAGTTAGAGAGCGGTGGTCGATGCGGCGAGATTGAGAGGCTGCGGCAGCGGCAGGAGCTCCAGCAAACACGTCCAGCCGCTTCCCCTTCCACGGTCCGACTCTTCCACCCGCCGCCGGCCCCAATATGGCGTCAATAACAACGCCGCCGATTCAAATCCTGCGGCCTCAGGGCGCGTGCGCAAAGCGGGGGGTGGGGGGCGGGAGCCCGAGCGTGCATTCTGGGAGTTATAGTTTATCACTGCAGGACGGACTCTGCGTGAAAAGCGGTTAGGGAGAAGTCACGAAAACTACGACTCCCGTCATTCAAGGCGCGCGAGTCCGAGTTCCGGATTGGAATTTAAATCCCCCTACACAGCTTGAGTGTAAAAGGAATTGAGGGGAAGAGAAAGAAGAAAAGCCCGTGAGTGGGAGAAAAGAAAGCCGGCCGGTGGGGAAAGCAGGTCTTAAAAAGCCTTTAAAGTTCCGGTAGGCGTTGTCGTGGGACGCTCCCACAGTGATTTACCAACCGGGAACTTGAAAACGAAGCCAACCGAACAGTTCGACTGATTAAAACAGTGCCAGAAACACAACCTGTCTCATCGACTGGCTAGGAGAAACTAAGATTTTTGGAACCTATTTAGACTTGCGGGAGAGAACAGTGATACTATCAGGTTACAGGAACCTTAACTGAACTTTATGCGTTGCCCTTTCCAGGTAGCTGCTTGCATCCACTTATTCGGCAAAGCCAGCTTTGCCCTGTAAATGAACAGGATTTGAACGACGCACAGAACTAAATTGTTCTACTTTGAATAAAAAAAAGCTAATATCAGAAGTTGTACTATCTCAATATTGGTGTATATCTTGTGAACGGTAAAAATTAAATCGAAAGACAATGGAATGTCTAGAGAGTAGATACGAGACCCATTTTGTAAGCAGAGAAAAATTTTTTTTTATAAAAGTTACACTTCTAATCAGGTACCTACAGCATTAGTTAAAAAAAAAGGAAGTGATTTATGTGAAAAACTATCGTTTGTCCTTTGCATATGGAAGCTATCACCAGTTATCTATGGGAATGCCATAATTATCTAATGATAAGTATAAAATACAGGCTTCCAATGCTTATTTATTCTTGTTATTTATTAAGTAACTAAAAGATGTACTATTTTGTGTATTATTCTTTACACCATTTTTGGACAGTAGTTTAATACATTTATTCTTGTTTTACAAACTGTTCAACTCAAAGATCAGCAGTCCTAATCACTCTGTGTCAACAACTAAGCTGTGCTTATTTTAACATACTGTTTGGAAAATAATCTTTGGGAAAAGATCAACATTTAATGCAACAGCAGCTGAACTGTGACATCTAATAGATACATTTTTACTAAATTCTAAACACTCCATGAAATCTATGATACAGTGAAAATAACACAATACACAATAACATATTTTATGTAAATGAGTAGAAAAAGCTAGGTTAACCTGTGGAAAACAAGCAACAAAGCATTTATATTCCTGGTAAATATTTTCTGAAATTAAGATTTAATGTGAAATTATAGAATTTACATTGGAAAAGGAGTGTTAGGAGTTGAATTGTCTCTCCTCGAAATATATATAAAGTCCTAATCCCAAGTATCTTGGAATGTGAGGTATTTGGAAATAGGATCATTTCAGATATAATTAGTTAAGATGGTGTCATACTGGAATAGGGTGGGTCCCTAATCCAGTATGACTGGTACCTTTTGTAAAAAGGGGAAATTTGGACACAGATAGGCAGAACACCATGTGCACACGAAGGCAGAAACCTAGATGATGCATCTACAAACCAAGGAAAGCCAAAGATTGCCAGCAAATCATCAGAAGCTAGGAGAGAGGCATGGAGCAGATCCTTCCTCACAGCCCTTGGAAGGAACTAACCCTGCTGATAATCCTGACTTCGGTGTTCTAGTCTCCAGACAATGAGACAATAAAACTGAAAACTGTGTTGTTTAAGCCACCCACTTTGTGGTACTCTGTTATTAGAAAACTAATAAAGAGGCTTGTGTTTGAGTTATGATGATTCCCTGGAAAATGAGGAAAGAGTTGTATGTAAAGGTGGCAGGGATTATCTGGTAAACTTGACATTTTAGTCATAATAACTACCCTTGTAATCACCACTGCACTGCCTATCTGCCAAAGGCTCTGTGTTAGGATTAAAACAGTGGGCGGGCTGGGGCAGCCCCTCCTCTACCAGTGACTAAGGAACCTGTTCAGCTTAGAGGAACAAGGGGAACTTTGCCGATTCACCTGTGTCTTTGCTCAGGTTCTCTTCCATACCTTTTGCCTAACTACTGTAACACTCAACCTAGGCATTGTCTCCTATGGGAAACCTTCCCCGAGCACATCTAGGCTGAATTCGTTTCATAGATTCATAGAAAAAGAAACACCTATCTTCATTATTACCCTCCCCACATTGTAGTACTGTTAATTCTTTGCTTTGCCTGTTAATTCTCTGCCTCTCCCACTACTGGGTTAGCTCCTGGCCAATAGCTTAGTACCTTGCACATGTCAAATACTCGTTGACTGTTTCTTAAACATTTTTTAATCACCTTATCCACCCAGTAGTCCACATTATACTTATTCCTTTAGATAGATACCTATGAAAATATTACAGCAACCCTTTTAGGGTAGAAGAAAACTGTTGAAGGAGAAAAAAAAAAACCTAAACAAATTTCTTACTCTAAAAAAAAAATTTGAAAGGCTGTAAGTCTTAACATGGCCTTAAGTCTTAAGAAGTTTAAAAATGAATTTTTACTTTGTTAACAGGCAAAGAGAATCATATTTAATGCATTAATAAGTTGAATCAGGCCACGTGAATCTAAATACACAGTACAGCTAAAGGCTTCAGTGACCTACACAGGCCAGAATTCTCTTGTGGCAACTACAAGTCTCCTGCATTTCGGGCAGATTCTTTACCTTCTGAGCCACCAGGGAAGCCCCACAAGGCCTATAACAAGTTTTAAAGGCTTGAAATATTTAGAATAGTTTTGCAACAATCTAGCAAGTGTTTTCTGATTGGTACAATCTCAGAAGCCTCTGGAGAAAATCAAACTGCTTTACCAAGATGTTGGTCTTTGCCTGGTATTAGACTTTCCTAACTACTCCCAAAATATTACCCAGGATCTGATTCTGATGAGTCATTCTTTCACTAAAGTCAGTAAAAGTATACATCACTGGGTGACACAAAGTATCTCATCATCTTGTACCATAAATCATTTTCAAACAATTTTTGTCTGATGTCAAATGAAGGCAAGTGCAAATATGTAAGGTGGGGAGAGGTGTTTGCTGACTTTGCATATTGAGTTTGAGTAATCGTGTGGTTCAGCAGTAAGACTAGCAGCTCTAATTCAGAAGTCACTTCAAATCTATATTCAGAACAAGCATTGCCTAGGGCCAAAGAAATGTTTAATCATTGTGTAAATGAGTGCAGTAGGGAAGACTATTGTAATTCCTTCCACGTAACAGCTTGTAGGCTGGCTGGAGTCTCTTCTAAGCACCATATTTGGCATACTATTGTACTTATTCACATACTCTTTTCCATTGTAGATATGATGCTGGCCAGTATTAACTTTTCATTATTTTGGTTGTGGTCATTATTTTGACCTTTTGATTTGATCGGATAGACCATAGTGTTATCAAAATCATGCACAGATCCGTGGTTTCTAGAGGTCACCTATTCTAGTCCCCAGCCTCGAGGTATAGTTACCAGTGAATTTCTCAAGCCAAACCAGCATGTCTGACTCTTCCTAAGTATTCTCAGGAGCAACTTCCAAAATTCTGTGGTATAGACAACTGCAAATTCTCTAATATTTAGCTTTGACCTCCTCTACATCAGAGGCTGGTTTCAACTTGTACAGTACTTTATCAAGAACAATGCAGAAATTAATGCAACATTGTAAAGCAGTTATGCTCCAATTAAAAAAATAAAAAGAACAGTGCACTCCAGGAAATAAGATGATTCATGGTTCATCTATCCTGAGGGACTTCGAGAGAAACCACAGAAAGATCTCTGCACAGTCAAAATAAGCTTTTACAAAGTCCTTTTAAATTTTTTTTGCATATTTTTCTCAGGTTTGTACTCTCAAGGACCTGTAGCCTTATAGAAACTATTTATTCTTTACAGAGAAGCCAATAATGTCTAAGGATTTTATTTCTCAGTCCAAACCATTTAGAAGAGGGGAAAGGGAATTGAAGATGCTATATGCCAACTACAAGTAATGCAATCAATGGATAGCAAAGAGAGACTGTAAAAAATAACTACAAAATTCAAAAGGCATTACAGCCTTCAGCCTGCAGCCTTGAGCCTTGAAACTTGATGACACCCGAGGAATTGCTGTATTATTACATCACCATATAATAAGGGTAGGGTTGCCAGATTGAACAAATAAAAATATAAGATGTCCAGTTCAATTTGACTTTCAAATAAGCAAGGTACAATTTGTTAGTACAAGTATGTCTCAAATATTGCCTGTGTTTATCTGGAATACAAATTTTACTGAGTGTCCAGTATTTATTTCATCTGGCGACCCTATATAAGACAGGCACCCCAAAGTCACCAATAAACTGCGTTAGTATACAGCTCAAAAACTGTCACTAATATGATATCAGACAATGTTTCATTGATAACATCTAAGATTAAGAAAATACAAACTTTAAGTTGTCTTTGGAAAGTTAATTTGGTCAAAATAACTCAAATAAAGTCAAATATACTTTGAACAATGCATGCTCTGTTCATTGCAGAATGCCAGGCTTAAAATAAAGACTGCATAAACATTGGACGAAGTGTGAAAAGCTAAAAACCTCCTCTCCCCATGGGGTGCCCCTGCAGGCTGTCCCCAGCCCCGCTGGCTGTGTGGTTTTGGAGTTCCTCCATGCCTTCTCATGCAGGGGTCAGTTCTGCTGTCTGCTTGAGTCCAAGCCTGACCTGGAGGCGCTGTCCCTGTCGCCGTCCCTGTCGGGCTCTTGTGCCCTCTCGCGTCTGTTTTCTTGGGCTTCCATGATGCCGCCGCGAACCTTCCCGGGTGTGGCTTTTCAAGAGGATGAGATGAGGCTACACTTCCTGGTATTTTGGGTCCCCTCGGTGAGCCCACTGATGCAACGGGCACTCAGGTGTGTGGAGTGAAGGAAATGAAGAAACAGGCCCTGCTCTTCCCCGTAGGAGAAGCTTTTCCAACCCCACATGCTGACAACAGCACCAACCCAGGCCAATGGGTCCAGGAGGGTCACTTGCAACCCTCCTGGCCTCTGTCAAGAGCTTCATCGGATGACCAAGAGAGTGCTAGACTTCATCTGGAAGTCACACCCCACATTTCTTCTTTGTGGTCTGATTAGTCCAAGACATCATCTCTGTCTGAAAGGAGAGAGTCTGCATCCCTAACAGGATTTGCCTCTGAGCAGAGGGACATGGAGAGGGTCTGTGGGAACCTGATGAACAAGACGCGGCTCCCACCCTCAAAGAAGTCGGAAAGTGAAAGCGGCTCAGTTGTGTCGGACTCTCTGCAACCCCATGGACTGTCCCCCGCCCTGGCTTCTCCGTCCATGGAATTCTCCAGAAAAGAATATTGCAGTGGTTGCCATTCCCTTCTGTAGGGGATCTTCCCAACCCAGGGATCGAACTGAGGTCTCCTGCCTTTCAGGCAGATTCTTTACCATCTGATCCATCAGGGAAGCCTCAAAGAAACTTACTTCCTACTCTATATGCTTATCTGAAAATACTTTTACAAGAATTCCCTTTATCATTATTTTTTGAAAACTAAAATATAAGTTTATGGAAATAACATCATCTCAATGATCATCAATCTGAAAATTAAAAGCCCGTAACAGTACATGGTACACAGTAAACCTGTAGTGAGTGATGGTTGTTGTCATCATGCTGAGGCAAACTCCAAAATTTTCCCAAGCCGAAAGTAGTAAAAGAATACAGAGAGTGTCTTATTATTCTGCAGAGCCCTGTCACAGCTGCTGGGGTCTAGTTTCTGAGACCACCTCGCCCCTCTCTTCCATCCCGTGCCACTAGGAGGAAGCTAGGCAAGACCTAGGTTCTTAATTGGAATCGTTGGGCTACAGGGTGTGCCTCACTGTGATCTCATTTAGATAGGTGAGTTCGAGGCTAGGTCAGCAATATTGGGAGGAATACAATTATTGTTTTCAGGGACCCCACCTCCCCCATGGCCATGTGCTTTCTCAGTTCATTCTAAATAAAAATCCAAGGGAATAGTGTTAACCCCACTTTACTCTTGAACCTGCGCATGAGTGCTAAGTCGCTTTAGCCGTGTCCAACTCTGCGCGACCCCATGGACTGTAGCCCATCAGATCCCCTGTCCATGGGGTTCTCCAAGAAAGAATACTGGAGCGGGTTGCCATCCTCTCCTCCAGGGGACCTTCCCGATCCAGGGACTGAGCTGAGGTCTCATGCATTTTCTACGTTGGCAAGCAGGTTCTTTACCACTAGCGTCACCTGAGAAGCCCTGGCTCATGCCTAAAATCACAGTCTTAAATGGGTCAGAGTTGGGACTATCACCCAGGTGTGTAAGATCCCAAAGGTGTGGCCTTGCACTCCACAATGTTGACTTGGGCAGTAAAGAAACCTGGAGAGAAAGAGATGGATTAATTTAAATTTTACAAAGCATCATAATGGAAATAAGCAGCAAGTGGTCAATCAAAAATGTAGTGTTCTTTTTAAGGACAGTGTAAGCAAGCATTCCAGATGACACAATAGAATGTATCCTATGACTGTTGTGTTTTGTTTCCCCATGGAATCTGATCCTTGGGTACCAAGCTTTGAGAGGTGATTATTGTGGGATCACATTTCTGTTCTGAGGCAATTGTGAGATACAGGAAGTGTTAAGGAGTCACACATAGTCCACGTGACTTATTTTTCTTTCTTAAGAAGATCTTTCATCCTGTCTTCACAACAGCCAGCTACAGATACCTGAAGTGAAGTTGCCCAGTTGTGTCCGACTCTTTGCGACCCCGTGGACTGTAACCTAGCAGACTCCTCCATCCATGGGACTCTCCAGGCAAGAATACTGGAGTGGGTTGCCATTTCCTTCTCCAGGGGATCTTCCCGACCCAAGGATCAAACCCAGGTCTCCCACATTCCAGGCAGATGCTTTACCCTCTGAGCCACCAGACAGATACCTAAATATCAGGCCTAAATAATGTTAACCACATTTTTTACTTAACTTGCTAACAGGCAGCTAGATAGAAATTCAGGTTCCTTTCATTCCTCCTGATTGCTTGCTATGTAGGACGCGGCCCAACGATGAGAAAGTCTGGCGTCACTGGGTGCACACCGGAGCTACAGCTGCATCAAAATCTGCCTTGTAACAGGCCCCCCGTGATGCAGGGGCCCAGGGCGCTGAGAAGCCCGGCTCTGGTTCACGTGGCCCCTCCCTGGGAGGTGCATTACAAGCACCGCGCCACGGTCCTCAGGTGCACACCAGACCCTCCATGAGGCCACAGGGATGCTGAGATGGTGGAGACACGGCCCCCGTGGCAGGAAAGAATAAAAGGAGGAGGTCCAGGCAATCCGAAAACGCTCACCTGGATCAGTGAGGATTCCTGGACCTAGGTGTCCTCTGCTCGTGGAAGAGTGGAGTTCAGAATGGCCTTCAGTACAGACAACACACCTGAAGGCTGTGTTTGCTTTTCAAGAGACGGTAACTCAGGAGAGGAGTGAGGAGGAGAGGTGCATGCATCTCCCACGCGGCTGAACTGCTCCCTCCTCAGTAACCCGGCGTCTGCAGCGCCCCCGCAGAGACGGAAGGCCGCTAAGCTTCTGAGAGCCCGCTCACCTACTCCTCTATTGAGTGATCTCCCTACGCCCATCGCGGCGCCAGCTGCTCCAGCTTCAGGTAAAGACTGACCGGTCCGCCTTCCCGAAGCTCTCTCTTAGCTGTGTGTGGGCAGTTTTTACCCGAATCTGTGGCTGTGAACGGAGGCTGTGGCTTGCCGTTTGAGAGGAAAGGGCTAGTTCTGCTCCGGTTTTCTCTCCTTTATAGATTCTGTAACATTACTTTCATGGCTTGAGTGTTCCTCTCAAGAATTGCTTTAGCACGCGAGATGCAAGTGTACCAGTAGGAGACAGCTACTTTCTTCAAAAGTGGAAATGGTCTCAATAAAAAAAAAAACAAAAACGAAACCTGAAGCATTATCTGCCATCCAACAATATTTCTTCTAAAGTTAGGTAACTCACCATTCTAGACCGGGCTCCTTATCACTGTTACTCTTAAGTGTGGTCTGTGGGTTTGTTCCCAGCCACCGCAGGAAAAGTGCAGATATAGACAATGATGGTTTAGAAACTTTTAGAGCAATTTCACATTGTTACAACATGCACAGCATCTCTGGAGGATCAGTCTCATTGAACAGGGTGCTGTAGATTGAATGTTTGTGCTCCCCCCTCCTCACCCAAAATTCACAGGTTAAAACCTAATTCCTAATGTAATGGTCTTTGGAGGCGTTCCTCTGGGAGCTGGCTAGGTCATGGGGGCAGAGCCCTCGGGAATGGAATTAGCATCCTTCTAAAAGCCCCAAAGAGCTCCCTTGCCTGTCCTACTGTGTGAGGACACAGAGAGAAGGTACTGTCTGTGAAATGGAAGCCTTGACCTTGGACTTCCCAACCTCCAGAACTGTGAGAAATGTTTGTTGTTTTTAACCCACCCAGCGTATGGTGTTTTGTTATAGCAGCTGAACAAACTAAGACACAAGGTCTAGTTTGGGCATTGCACTGGGATGGCTGAGTGACATGTGGCACATCTTCCTATGAGCCATCCCAACACATGTGTGAGATTTTAAGTTTATGTGTCCACTGTCATCCCAAAGTGTATAAATTCCAGAATTCATCTTGTTCACTGGTTTATCAAGGAAAATTTAAATTTAAAATTAAAACTGATCTTTTAACTTTAAAAGACCAGTTTTGGAATTGACTACTGATGAAGGATTGAAAGTGAATGTTGAATACACAATATCATGGATTTCATTTTAGACAAAAGTAGAAAATGAACATCCAGAGCTTGCAGAACTGGCTTTATTTTTCCTTTCTCATGAACCTACCTCTGTAAGACTGGTCTCTCTACTCTGAATGTTATTAAAACATAGAGGGACTTCTCTGTTGGCCCAGTGGTTGGGACTCCAAGCTTCCACTGCAGGGGGCATGGATTCGATCCCTAGTCAGGGACATAAGATCCCGAATACCTCGAAGCGTGACAAAAGATAATAGGAAGAAACTGCTTAAATATACATGATCCCCTCTTTGTAGTCCTTTCATCTATTCAATCCAGATTAAATAGTGAGCAAAAAGCAAGCTCACCTATCACATGAATAAATATTAATATACAAAATGTTTGTTTCAAATACCCATATCAGCATTTACCATGGAGAATTGCTATTTTCCTCCTAATTTTTGTTTCATCACAACTGTGGAATGACAAAAAAGCACTGAAGCTAAACTATTAATTGCCTGTCCTCAGGTGTGCAGTGAACAGCAGACACATTTTTGTGATTTATTTTTTCCTGTGTTTTGTTTTTTGATTATCTCAATTATATATGCCTGTTGAATCTAATAAAATATATAGGCTTGTGTTATATATTTTCTCTTTTTTATTTCTTTTTTCTATTAATTCATTTTTTCTTATATTGCCAAATGTACTGATCCACCTAGATTAGAAGGGAAAACCTGGTTCTTCATCTCAGAGTTTGAGAAGAACTTCTGCAGAGTAACCTGTGTGTTAATGACTACGGGCAAGCCCAGCTCATGAAAAAGAATGTTGTTAATATTAGCTCATATGTGTATAGCATTGCCTACCTGCCAGGCATGTCCTGGGTGCTTCACAAGTATGAGCTAATTTGCTCTTACCTTGTGGATTAGGTGCTATTGTATCCATGTTACTGTTGAGAATACAGGTTCAGAGAGGTTGAGTCCCTTGTTCAGGGTCACACAGCTCTAAAGCAGAGCCTAGTTCCAGAGTCCAGGCTCTGATCCACAGAGGGATGCAACCCAGCTGTCGTAGTCAGAGCCCTCCACTAAATAACTATGAACTTATGTGAGTCATTTAACTCATGAGGGGAAAAAAAACGGGAGCATTAGAAAAGACAACAAAAGCTCCAGTGCAGAGTCCCTCCCAGGTCTCAGGCCTTGAGTTAAATGCTTTCGAGGCGTGATCTCAATGTCTCCTGAGGGCGGGGTGCTGGAGGAAATGGCTTAGGTAGTAGGGGAGATGACTTAGTGGTGTATGGGCAAGGCAGAAGTCAGGCTGCAGCACAGAATGAGAAACTTCCTTCTTCAAGTCTGTGACTCCTGCTGATCACGTCTGGGCAAGTCTCCTTGGTACAAGTCTTACATGACTTTCTCACATTGGCTTATTCCTTTTTGTTCCACAAGGAGAGCAGGACTGAGCTGAGCACCTTCTCTGGAAGCAAGATCTTTTTTATTTCCACTTCACCTTCGATTTAGGGCAAGTCATTCTCCATTGACGATAAAGATGTAAAATTTTCTTTCAAAATGTCTTTAAGTTTCAAAAGTGAGCTTTGGAAAAATACAGAGAGGATAATGATATAGTTCTTACATGGACTTAGCAAAAGTTGTGATGCATGAAGTTTGACAAACACTTCCTTATCTTTCAGCAATCTGGGAAGACAGGTACAGTTGTTCTCCATTTATAGGTAGGAGATCTGAGGTTCGAAATGTTCAGTGAACTTCTGCAGGCTATGCTATAGGAAGGTGACTATTGGGATCTAAACGTAGAAGTGTCTGCATCCAAAATTAGTGCCCTTCCCTGTTAGGTACACTGCCTCCCTTAGACGGCAATCGTGCTTGCCTCCTCCTAGGACTGTGGCTCAGAGCCCTCCGATTGTATTTCATGATCTAAACCAGCAGTTCCCACTGCATGCGCCTTTCTGCTGGTCCTCCGGAAAGGTCCTCCTCTGGGTCCTTTCATTTTAATACTAAGATGCCGCTTATCTCTTCTGCTCTTGTTCTCTCACAAGTGTACAAGGACGTTCTTCCTGAGGCTGCAGGGCATGCGCTGTCAGGACATACTGAGTGTAGAAGCAGATGGGAGAAGCCAGCTGCCCCCAATTAAGCCAGACATGAGAAGGACGGACAAACATGTAAAACAATGTCGCCTTTTTCATGACATCTTTTTAACTTGCTGGCTTGTTTTAGAAAACGCAGCCATGTTTTGGTTTTTTTGTAACTTTAAACTTTATTTTGTATTGGAGGGCATGGCAACCCACTCCAGTGTTCTTGCCTGGAGAACCCCATGGACAGAGGAGCCTGGCGGGCCACAGTCTATCGGGTCGCAAAGAGCGGAACGAGACTGAGTGATTGACAGACACATAGCCAGTCAACAGTGTGGTGGTTTCAGTAAGCAGCGAAGGGCTCAGCCATACACATTTTCACTTTTTTACGTTGGAGTAACTTACTTTACCGTGTAGTGTCGTTTTCTTCTGTACTGCGCTGTGACTGAGTCATGTGCATACACACGTGCCCCCCCTTGGGTCTCCCTCCCACCTTCCGATCCCCCGCCCCTCTAGGTCAGGACGGAGCCCCCAGCTGAGCCGCCTGCGTTCTGCAGCAGCGGCCCGCGGTCTGAGCCGCCGTGCGTATTTCTCGCCGCGCCCTCTCGCTGTGTCCCGCCCGCCCCGCGGCCTTGCTCCGTGTTCACGGCTCTGCTCTCTGCACCTCCACGTCTATTCCTGCCTGCACACGGGGTCATCAGGACCGTCTTTCTAGATTCCACACACATGCATTATTGTACCACATTTGTTTTTTCTTTCTGACTTACTCTATATGACAGACCCTGGGTTCATCCGCATCACTACAAATGATTGAGTTTTGTTCCTTTTAATACAGCTGTTTTAAATTTAAAAAAAAAGTGATGTTAACATGTAGTAGGTTTACTGTTCTTTTTAAGTGAATAACTAAATACACGTTTATCCATCTTAATTTTGAATGCACTAAACATCAGAATGTACTAGATAGCCCCCATAAACACTTTTTGGGGGCCGTCAAGAGCATAAGGAAGTCTTAGATGGAACGTATGTGGTGGGATGATATTTTTAAATATTAATGGAAACTTTTCCCCCCAATATTTCTTTTATTTTTTTAAAGCCAATTACAACAAATATATTTTTACGTTTTCATCTACCGCCCCCCTGTTCCCCTCCTCACCCACCCATTCTTGTCTTCTCATGGCTTAATCACATTCCGGTTTTTCCCCCAATATTTCTACCCTTTCTTTCCTCCCCTCTCCATTTAAGTAGGTAATTGTGATTCGTGGCTTCAGGGGACGGACCCTGCTGGATGGAAAAGCAGAAATAGGGACTAGCTTTTGTCAAAGCTGAAACCTCCTAGGGAAGCTCTCCTAGGTGCTTTGAGGCCGGAATATCAAAATACAGCAAGTGCCAGTGAGAAAACTTAATAGCGATATTGAGAGAGAGCAGTTTTCCCAGGACGAGGAAAAATATTTCTCATCTCTTTAGGGTGGGTGTGGGAAGAACAAAGACAAAAAAGAGATCAGGAGAACTGAAAGAAGACTGGGCTGAAGAGACCAGGGAGACGGAGAGCAGGCCCTGCTCGGAGGGCGCATCTTCCACTGTCCTGGAGCCCGGTGGAAGCTGGAAGTGTCACTGCCTAAACCCAGCGTCGTTGAAGCCACTGCCCCTCCATCCTCATGACCGTCCTCGGGAGTGACGCATTCTGATTCCCCCAGCCAGGACACCCGCACACCCAAAACATCTCTGGACCATCAGAAGCCCAAGTGGGGGGTGCCTGGGGCTCCGGGTGCCTGGAGGGAAAATGGGGGGCCAGGTAAGAGATAACAGCTCTGGGCCCTGTAATTGCAATGTCTGATTGGAATCAGCTGCAGACCGCCCTGAGCTGGAAGAGTAGTTTTTGCAAATTTTAGGAGCACCAAACATACCTGTTGGCTGGTAAGCAAATAAGAACTTGAGTTCTAGCAGAAACTGCCAACCGATGGCCATGTCCTTGTGTTTGACCCCCAAGTGGCTGTTCTTGGTCCAGCACAGGGGATTTTCTTAGCTGATTGGTCTGTGCTCATTAGATGCTCTGGGAGGAGTTCACGCACCATCCAGGGCCCCCGTCCTCTCTCCCACTCAGGCCCTGCACTCACCAGCATTCCCTGCCAGGCCCCTGAGGACATCTGACTTTTCTGAGCTCTGCAATATGCGGTGAGTGATCTATAATAGGAGGACTCCTCAAGGGGAAACCCTGAAACTACATGGAACTGTGAGCCTCTGCATTTTTCTGAGGACAGCATCTACGCTTTTATCAGCTACACAAAGGACTCTCTGATGCCCAGGTTAAAATCCTGGCCACTGTTTACTGGCTGCGTGACCTTGTGCATGTCACTTAACCCGTCTGTGCTTCGTTTTCCTCATTGAAAATGGGGTTGTTAATAGGACTTAACTCTCAGGGTTGATGTGAAGATAAATGAGCTGTGTGTGTGCTCAGTCGTGTCTGACTCTTTGTGACCTCGTGGACTATAGCCCTCCAGGCTCCTCTGTCCATAGATTCTTCTAGGCAAGAATACTGGAGTGGGTTTCCATTTCCTTCTACAGGGGATCTTCCTGACCCAAGGATCAAACCCTTGTCTCTGGTGTCTCCTTCATTGACAGGCAGATTCTTCACCAGCTGAACCACCAGAGAATCCCATATAAAGCACCTGGAATGGAAAACCCTTCAGAAATGTTGACTAGCATTATTATCAGGGAGGTGGACTGTTGTGGGTTGGGTGGAAACCCAGTATCAGGGGGTCAGCCTAGAGCAGAGAGATGAGTGAGGGCCCATCTTCAACATGTAGCCTGTGCAGCTCTCAGAACTCACTCATTCAGCACACGGTCCAGCACACTGGGGACAAACAAGTCCTCTATGCATGCGTCCAAAACGGCTGCCAGCAGCTCGGATGTGTGTGCCTCTCTTATCCTGGGAAAGATAAGGATCTGCGGGTGGCAGTCAGAGGGACCTGGAGCCATGATCTTGGAGACTGCCGTTCTGCCCTGGAGACCAATGCTGCCTTAGCTCTAGGCTCAAGACCCACAACTGGGCAGCCCGGGGAGCAGAAAGTGTAGCAGAGTCCACCAGAAACTGGAATCCTGTTCCACCACTTTCTAGCTGAGTGTACTTGAACAATTTACTGTAAGCCTCCCTAAGCCATAGCTTCCTCTTTTGAGAAATTGAGGAATAATATGCCCACTGTAACAATTCGATAATATAACATAAACAAACACTTAGCAAGGGCAGAGTGCTTAGGAAATGGAACCAGGGTTCTGGCAAAGTGTGTATTCCCGAGGCAGGGCTCAGGGAGTCTCGGAGTCTAATTGGATGGGGATCCTCAAAGAACAAAGGGGAGACAGCCTTAAACATATCTTCCTTTTCTTTTTTTTGCCTCATGGCACGTGGGATCTTAGCTCCCCAACCGGGGATCCAACCGTGCTCCCTGCCCTGGAAGCCTGGCGTCTTAATCACTGGACCACCGGGACAGTCTCTCCTTTCTCTTCCTGATGATGTAACGGAAACAGCTGACCCAGCTCAGCTTTGCCTCATTTTGTGGTTGAAATGCAGCATATTGGAGGTTCCTGTTCTCAAACCCAAGTTCCCAGAAGAGGAAATTTATTGGCTAGCTCCTGTAACATACTTGGACCTGCCACTGACAACCACTAAGGTGTGTATATATGGGGTGGGAGAGGGAGGAAAAGAGGTGAGTGTTACGGATACACAGGTTCAGCCAGTTCATAGAAGAAGAAAGCCAGATGGCTCAGGGACACCTGAAAAGAGACTCGTCTTCACTAACATTCAAAGAAATGCAGACTAGGCAGCAATGAGAAGTGCTCATTTTTTTTTCTTTTTTGACATCATTTGGCAATTATGAAAAATAAAATTATAGGAAACTTGTGAAGAGTATAAAGTGATATGACTTCTGGTTTGCAATTGGACATCATGTTGTCATATTTTTTAAGTTAATTTTTACTGGAGTGCAGTTGCTGGACAATGTTGTGTTCGTTTCAGACACACACACACACGCGCCAGCCCACCCTTTCGGACTTCCTGCCCATGCAGGTCACCACGTGCGTAGAGCAGAGTTCCCTCTGCTACACGGCAGGTCCTCACTAGCTGTTTATTGTGTACACTGTATCAATGGCATATGTGTTGTCATATTTTAAATGTACATAAACTTTAACCCCGAAAGTTTAGTTGCAGGAATTTATCCTAAACAGATAATTAGAACATGCCCGGGCATATATACATATGTGTACGTATGTGTATATACATATATAGGGCTCCCCTGGTGGCTCAGATGGTAAAGAATCCACCTGAATGTGGCAGACTCGGTTCAGTCCCTGGGTTGGGAAGATCCCCTGGAGAAGAGAATGGCGGATAGCAACCCACTGCAGTGTTCATGCCTGGAGAATCCCCAGGGACAGAGGAGCCTGGCGGGCTATAGTCTAAGGGGTTGCAAAGAGCGGGACACAACTGAGCGACTCAGCATAGAGTGAGCATGTGTATATAGATGATAGTCGGGTAGATGCATACGCACTCAGGCATGCTGAGTCACTTCAGTTGTGTAGAACTGTTTGCAACCCTATGGATTGAAGCCCATCAGGCTTCCCTGTCCATGCGATTCCCCAGGCAAGAAAACTGGAGTGAGTTGCCATGCCCTTCTCCTGGGGATCTTCCTGACCCAGGGAGTGAACCCACATCTCTTGTGCTTCCTACATGGGCAGGCAAATTCTTTACCACTAGTGCCACCTGGGAAGCCCATGTATAGGTATTTATTGCAATATTTTTAATATTTAAGAAAAACTTAGACCATAATAGATGCCCTTCAATGGAGGGTAGAGATGATGGTATAATACTACTGAGAGGTTGTTATAAAAGGCGAGGTACAAGCCAACCACAGAAGAGCATAAACAATGTGATTTCATTTTTGTCAAACACACAGTATATAATACCCACTGCACATACTACCTTAGAAATATGTCTGCATGCACACGATATGCATTTGCCTGTGTATGTTTGTGTATATTATGTAATATATAACAATTACACATTATTTGTAGTATGGCAGTTACATATTGTGTATATATATATGTATATATATGTATATACATTTACAGATGGTGGCACTTAGTGCTGAAAACCCACCTGTAAATCCAGGAGATGTAAGAGATTCGGGTTTGAACCCTGAGTTGGGAAGATCCCGTGGAGCAGCAAATGGCAACCCACTCCAGCAGGCTTGCCTGGAGAATCCCATGGACAGAGGAGCCTGGAGGGTTATGGCCCATGGGGTCGCAAGAGAGTCAAATACAACTGAAATGACTTAGCACAGCACACATAGGTATCTCTAGGGATAGCTATAAAACTAATCATTGTGTCCGTCTCTTGGAATGAATAGAATTATGGAAAGCCTTCACTTTCTGCTTTATCCATTTTTATATGATTGAACTTTTTAAAAACAACCTTGAATTATTTTTATAGCTAGATAAAAAAAAAACTAGTAAGATACTCTATTTCAGGGGGTAAAGAGAGTATAGAGTTTTATATAAAAGAGAAACATTTGATATTTTGAAATTAAAGAAGGACATCACAAATCCAATTTCCCAGTGGTAATAGGAGGAGGCAACACAAGCTGCCCCTGCCTGGGGCCTGGGATTATGGACTGAGGGCTTTTCCTCGGGTGGAAAGGAGAAAAGTCAGCTTCTGCTGGTACCACGGAGTACATTAACTCTGTCCTGTTGGGAGATTTTGGCTTACCCACAACTCGAGGGATCTTCCCCCTTCTTCAGCAGATGAATTAAGGAACATAATTGAATTGAACTTTTCAGCTCAAATCTAGAGATAATATAGTTTTGTATTTACAAATGAAAAGAGGAGGAAGGCAGTAAGTGGGGAGAACTGAGGTGTACAGTTAAGTGAGGGGTCAGATACAGAGAGAACCAGAGGCCAAGCTGGGAAAAGTGAAGGTGACCTGGTTCAGTTTCAGGGACGTGTTTATCTGCAGTCCGGCACAGATTTGTGTGGGACCTTTGGGTTTGTTTTAAGGAACTTGAATAGGTTGGGAAATTGAAACTCCTACTGGGATTATTATTACTCTTTAAGTGTTTCCCTTCAGATTCTTCCTTTTCTGATAGGAACATGCTAAGTATTAAAAGAGGACATTGTGGGAAGCGTGGAAAGATAAATTAGAAGTTCGGGATTAACATATGTACAATACTATATATAAAATAGATAACCAACAAGGACCTACAATATAGCAGAGGAAACTCTACTCAATATCTTATAATAACCTCATATGGAAGAGAATGTAAAAATAGAATATATATTTAATATATACATAACTGAATCGCCTTGCCATGTACCTGTAACCAACACAACATTGTAAATCAACTATATTTCAATAAAAATGTTTTAAAAATCCAATCCAACAGAAACAAATAAATAAATAGAAATAAAAGAGCCATTGTAATTTTTTTCAATGCCATAGTGAATTTCAGTGGGAGAAAATGAATCTTGCTGAGCAGGCCACTTGACAAGAATGCCTCAAGCTCACACATGGCAGGAGAGCTGTATTAATTTGGCATGGATAGAAAACAGTTTCAACGCACAGTCTTTTGTCCACTGTTTGTAGTAGGCAGTTCACCAACAATGCATCTTAGAGCGCTGTTCACCAATGGCATTGGAAGTCAGTTTCACCACACTGCTGTCTCAGACCTCTGACACCTCGACAGGCAGACTCTGGGGGATAAGACCCATTTTCTCTTCTCCTTTTCTTCTTGAATTCCACTCTAAGCAAGAAACATTTGCTTAATGCCTACCTAGGGACTTCAACGTTGCTAGCTCATATGATGGCCTTCCAAAAACGTCTACAGTAATGGGAATGTTGGGGATAATATACCCTCGGCCATACCGCAAAGACAGCTTTTTGAATGATTGTTCATATAAAACCTGCCAAATTGCTGATATTAGCATTGGTCATTCCTTACATTATGAGATTTTGAAGATGAAAATAATAACTGGAGACAGCAAGAGCTGGCAGGTCATCTTGTTCAGCTCCCTCAGGTAACATATGATAAAATGAATCTCTGAGAGAGCAGGAGCATTGTCTAGTTTCATGACTAAGAAGTGGAAGAGTTTTTTTTAATTCCAAATCCCATGCTGTTATTATTACGGCTCGGCCTGCCTCTCTCAGAACAAAGTCTGTCTCAGAAATGCAGACATTCCCTTCTCCCTGCCCACGTTCCTCACGGGAGCCTGCGCCCCACTCCTCACCCCGGGGGGAGCGGCTCCTACCACGGGACCGCGCCCCACCAGTCTCAGCGACTGACCCGGGGACAGACGTTTGACCTCAGCTGAGCTGAGCGGAGCTCTCCCGAGAATTTGGAAGAGGGACAAAGAGGCTGAGTCACTGTGCTGTGAGGAGCCAAGCTGCAAGGTCACGGCCAGCGGGTCTGCCACAGCGCCCCAAGCCTCGTCCTGATGAGTGAGGGGAAGCTGAGGAGTCATGAGTCAGCAGAAAAGGTCCATCTGCAAGGGATGGGGCAGGTGCCCTGAGGCAAGTAGAGACGCCGTGCCTGTCTGCGGGCTAAGTCGCCTCAGACCTGTGTGACTCTGTGTGACCCTATGGACTGTAGCCCGCCAGGGCTAGCTGTCCGCGGGGCTCTCCAGGGGAGACTGGAGTGGGCTGCCGTACCCTCCTCCACGGGCACTTATCGACCCAGGCACTGAGCCCACCACTCTTACGTCTCCTGCATCTGCAGACAGTTCTTTACCACTAGCATACCTGGGAAGCCCAAAATAAGAGACACTATGTACCTCCAAAGGTAGAAGAGAGACAGAGGGAGAAAAAAATCTACATAATCCCCTCTTGGTCCCCAAACGCTCAGCTTTATCTCCTGCAGTGGCTTATTGTAACCCCATAATGAACTCTGCCTTTCAATCAGTCCTCTTTTGATTTGAGCTAAGTGGACCTCTGTTCTTTGCATCTAAATTTTTCCTAAGACATTCCAATTCATCGTGAATGTATTTTTGGGTGAAAAGACTGCTCTGTTTTTTATGAAGATTATGGAAATTGAAGTCTTATCTCAAAACCCACAACGGAATGATTGGTTTTCTGCATTCTCTTCATTAATTATCCAGACCCAAGAGATGACGCTTTCTAGGTGAATAATTTCCAGAATTTCTGATGGAAGTTAGCCCAACTTTGGGTTGTCCCTCAAAATATGCTAGAGTTGTTCTGTCCAGAATAGAAATCTTACAGGAGTGTGTAGCTGCCACCTTGGGAAGATATGTCAGGACTTCCTAGAATATTTCCATTTAAAGTTTCCAGTGCTTGAGCCTGTTTCCTCATAAGGAAAACTTCCTTTAGAGGTACTTGTAACCCAACATTGACCCAGCCAGGAAGTGGCCATATCTGTCACAGGGATATTTGTGTGATCTAAATAATGGAAGGAGCCTTTAAAAAAATTCTACTTATCTTTCTAAAATTCTTAAAACTAACATAAGTATAAAATAATGGAGGAATGATTGAGTACTTTAGGGTTCATTATATATAGTATATATGTATACTGTGTGTGTGTGTATATATATATATACTCATATATAGAATATATATATTATAATTGTGTTATCTCAAATAATGGAAAGAGCCTTTAAAAAAATTCTACTTATCCTTCTAAAATTCTTAGAACTAATATAAGTATAAAATAATGAAGAAATGATTGAGCACATGAGGGTTCATCATATATGGTGTATATATATACATATACTCATATATAATATATATATCTGATAGAATGCTATACAGGTATTTAAAACAGTATAACTAGCAAGATTAAACATGGAAAGATATTTATGATTCAGCAAACAAAGAGCAGAATACAAAGTCGTAAGTATCGACCACGTGAAAATAGATGCACATAAAGGACATTTTCTTTCTTGATAGTCTTCAACAAGGTAGTTGAGGCAGCCCCAACCAACCCCTAGATCTTGGTATTTAAGATGAAAATCTATTGGGCATTTCTCCCCAGGATGATTTTGGCTAGGCAAAAGCTGCTGACCAGGTTCAGGTCCTGCATTTTTTCTTACATTGACCTGGTTCCAAGCCTTGTGCTGGTGTATTTTTCAGCCTGTCTGTAGCTCCCAAATGACGTGAAGTCCTGATGATGGGGAGTTCTCAGTCTCTCTGGGCGATGACTTGAGACCTTTGCTTTTCACCACATAGATCTCAGCAACTTTTAGACTTGGATTGCGTTTGTTCTTTTTTTTTTTTTTTCTGTTTCTCAAAGCTGTGACAAGGTGGAGATGTGACTTTCCTTCAATGTGCTAATAACCTCTGCAAAGTTTCTGGGAATAGCCTCCAAAGCCGAGGGGAGATGGAGAGACACTGAATCTCTTCTTTCATTTGGTAGGAAAAAAAAACCAAACTCATAGACCAACTACCACCTCTAAGACTTTGATTGCAGAGAAGTTCTCCCATGGCTATTTTCACGATGTGTCCCCTCACCACGCAGAGGGAGTCAAATACTGGCCTCTTGCTGCCCTGTGAGGGTCTGGTTGCCTAATTATCTCATGCCTGCTCCAGCAGACATATGTTATGTTTGTGGCCACATGTCATCTCTTGGAATCCTCTCCCATGCCAAGGAAGCTTATACCTTTTGAGTCCTCCCTTCTCAAGGAGAGACAAGGACTTACTATTCCAGCCTTCTGTGCAACCAGGGTGTAAGTCTGTGATCTAGTTTCTGCCATCAGGTGCGGCCATGCAAGACTGCAATGCAGAAGGGCAAAGCGCACGAAGCCAGGTGTCAGGCGGGGCCGGTGTTCTGGTGAAGGCTGCGGGGCTGGACGGAGGCGCTGAGGCAGAAATGGTTGCAGCCCTCGTGGTGGCATCCCCTGTGGGGGCAGCTGGTGCCGCGGCAGTGCTCATGCCAGGGGTGTGACTCAGATATAACTTGCAGCGTAGCCTCAGAGTGTGATTCCCTGGCCCTTCCAGGAGTCTGCGTGCTATCTAATATTCTTTAAAACTTAAAAAATTTTTTGTTAAAAACCAGCATGGGTAGATTCTGTTGTCTGCAACTAAAAATCTTGAATAATATATCGACTGTCATGTTTTTATATTAGGCTGAAGGCCTGAGAGGGGCTTCCCAGGTCATTCAGTGGTAACGAATCCTCCTGCCCATGCAGGAGACACGAGAGACGCAAGTTCAATCCCTGGGTCAGAAAGGTCCCCTGGAGAAGGAAATGGCAACTCATTCCATTATGCTTGCCTGGGAAATCCCACGGACAGAGGGGCCTGGCGGTCTACAGTCCATGGGGTCACAAAGAGTCAGACGTGACCGAGCGTGCACACTGGACTGAGAAGTGATTGATTTTTCTTATTCACTACGCTTCACCAGCTGGTGGATATAATTAGGGTCATAAGAATCACAGTTCTAAGTCTGCTTGGCTCTTGCTCCCACTTGCATAATGTAGACTTTCTGGCCTCACGCAAAGTCTCCTTAGAATCCCCAGAGTTGTTTCCTATGTACCGACAGACAGTTCTTGAACGTTCTTCTCCGTGGCCACCTGTGTCTTGGCTGCAGCCTAAGCTATGTGCAGGTCAGAATCTACATCAGGGCCAAGCATGATGAGGCTGATACCCACGGCAGATGCGTACTGCCTCTAATACTTTCACCCGTGTCACTCCTGGACAGAAAGTCCTGCAGCCTATGTGCACTTATCCTTTATCCTTTATAGAAATACACACTTTACTGACCACGTAAAGCCCTTCTCTCTAAGACACAGATGTGAATACCTGGGACCAAGCCAAGGGATCAAACAGGTTGCTGTTTATCATTTCCACTTCCTTACTCCTTCCCCAACACACATGCTCTCCACCGCCTCATCTTTCATGCAAATCAACTCAAGCAAATAGTCATCTGCAAATAGACATCACTGGCTGTAACATTACAATTCAGCCCTCAAACCTTGTTCTAGCAACATCCTCAAAGTGGGAACAATTTCAGGCCAAATTGATGGACTTCAGAAGCATGATTTTTATTTTTCAACATTTTACAGTTGTTGTGATCACGCTGTTTTTCAACAAGTAGAAAAGCATGACCTGAAACAGTCAGTAAGTCCTATGAAATGTGTGTTGACAGAGCTTGCCTTTGCCAGGATCCTTTCTTACAGACATCTTCTCCTACACCCTCCGGTATTTCTCTATTAATGGAATACAGGCAACTTCTTTGGCAAATAGATACATAATGTCAGCGTCTGTGATGAGTCTTAGTAAAATGAAACAATTAGGGGATTTTTCAGCAGTCCCACTGCCAGTTTTCCCTGGACACTTCTATCAGTGTTTCTGTTAATGACTTTAATCAGGGCATTTTACTCACCCTAACCAGAGGCTCAAGATTTGAGAGATCAACAGAGGATTCAATGTATTATAGTCTTGCTTTGTAGAAATTATTGGGTGGAGTTTTCCTGTGAGTAGATGCAGCAGTAAAAATCCCTTCTTACCGCTACTTTCCCCCTGGTTTTGCTGTTTGGCATCTGTCCTCTTGTTGTTATTATAACAATTCCAGCTTATGGTTTATAAAAGATCACAAAGCAATATTGTGCCCACAGACTGAGCCCCTCAAATAGCATCCCCAAATCTCTCTGCTAGAAAATATAAAAAATGCCTCAGAATTCTATCCTGAGAATTCTATCTGGGAATTCTACAGAATGCCCATTGCTTTTTTGGTCTGTGTTATGATTTGGAAGGAAATAAGTTTGCTCCTGTATAGTGAATTCCTATAACCATTTCCAAATATATCAAAGAGTAAAAGAAAGGAAAGACTGGTAAATGTGAGCTGGGACATCCAGCCGTGTGCAGAGGGAAAGATTTCACAGCTTAGCTGCCAAAGTGGTCCAGGGACTTCCCTGGCAGTCTAGAGATTAAGAGCTCAACTTCTAGCACAGGGGTTGTGGGTTTGAACCGTGGTCAGGGAGCTAAGACCCCACATGCCTCAAGACCGAAAAAGCAAAACATAAAAAACAGAAGCAACATTGTAACTAAATCCCACATGTTGCAACTAAGACTCAGTGTAACCAGAAAAAAAAAAAAGTATCCAGAGAGACGTGATTCTTTCATCAAAATGCCTGTTTCTATCACTGTTATCACTGTAATGCAATACCTACCCTCTCTTACATTTTCCGACAACCAATTTTTCCAGACAGCCACGAGATATGTATAAATACTCATTTAAATTATCCAACCACACAGGAGTCAAACATCATGTTTTAATGTATCAGAAATACACTGTCAGGGGCCTTGTTGGTGGTCCAATGGTTAAGACTTCTTGCTTCCAATGCTGTGGGTGCAGGTTCGATTAATGGTTGGGGAACTGAGATGCTACATGGCTTGTGGCAAGGCAAAAACTTTTTTTTTTAATATAATTGAAATATATTACCAGTTTATTTTAGCAGTGGTTGTATTGAAAGTGTAGAGTAAAGAGAGATAATGAGGGAATAAGATACTGAGCATATCCAATATTTTAAAAAGGGTATAAAACATCTCATGGTACAGGTTTGGTTAACCTGAAACCTTAAAGTTCATTAATCATAAAGCTTGAGTTCTGAGATAGATATGATTTTTGCTTAGCCTATAAAATAAACTTTGAGTCTGGGGCACAAGAAGTACTTTCCTGAGACATTATGTTTTCTTTTGATTTTTCTTATTTCTATCAGAAAAGCATAAGAATAACGTACAAAATTGATGGAAAGATGGAAATTTGCTTGCATCTTTCTGATGACAAAAAGGTGAGTGAGTCATTTGCTCAAACACCAGCCCAGAAATTTTATCTCATGCATCGTTGAATAAGAAGACTCAGCTGGGCGCCCCTCCAGTAGGTAAGAGGATCTCTGAGTCGCATGATGTAAGGGGGAGGTGGCCTGAACCTGCTGCCCTTCCTTGGGCCTCCCCCCAGCTTCTGGCAGCTTTGCTGCACACAGATCATTCTCTACCCTGATTCTGCCGGCGAGTTTCCAGCGCCATTCCCCTCAGCCCACTTTCATTTGTATCAGGACCCTGAGTCTCTGTGGAGATGCAAAAGCCGATGGGTCTAACTCAGCCTCATTATGACACCAAGGGTTATGACCTTTAGTTTCCCTGGGAATGGTTTACACCATTGGCTGAGCCCCAAGATCTAGGTCATCAGTGTGATTCTTGGAAAGAGATACAGAGTGGGTATCTCTAGTCTGAGCCAGGTGTATCAAATCCTAAAATTTTATTTTATTCCTTTAGAAGAGTTTTTGATGTGGACCATTTTTAAAGTCTTTGTAGAACTTGTTACAATATTGCTTCTGCTTTTTATGATTTGGTTTTTTTCATCTCAAGGCATGTGGGATCTTAGTTCCCCGACCAGGGATCGAATCCACATCTCTTGCACTGGAAAAGGAAGTCTTAACCACTGGGCTGCCAGGGAAGTCCCTCAGTATAGCCAATGTACGCTGTGGCTCTTGAGAGCAGCGGGCCGTGAGGAGGGCTGCAGGGAGGCATGTCAACTCCTCCACTAGGGAGACATGTGAAGGGGCCACTCAGCCCAGACTAGGACCGGGGCAGGCTAGGCTACCCTCCTCTCCAGGAGAGTCAGTTCCAGTCACTTTCCCTTGCAGAGGGGGCAGGGAAGTCCTGCATGCTACCTTGAATTTCCATCATGATAACTGTGCATTTGGAAAGGAAGTCAGATGAAGGCAACTCTGTGGCTTACTTGGTGAAGTAAACTGGCTTGGGTCAGAAAGAGGTGAGCAGCCAATGTCAGAGCAGAAATGCTACTTCCTGTGTCCCCTCCTGAATCGTCATGTAATAAGCTTCTGACCCGCAAAAAGTCCTGAAGAAAGGCCGCAGAGGAGGAAGTGAATGGGCCAACGGCGCTGGCTCCGAGCCCGAGGAACACCCTGCTTTGAGGATAAAATTGCTGCTCTCCTGCCAACAGTTCAGGCAAGGACAGCTGCGAGAATAATGTTTGGAATTCAATGGAGGAACAGCTCGAAGGGACCTTGCGGTCATTATTGTCGCAGTGGCCTCTGAGAGCACTCTTTCAGTTGCCTCGTTTGTTTGCCTGCTTTTGCTCAGGTGATGCAAAGAGGAAGTAAATGACCCACATGCTATTGGTTCTAGACGACACGGAGGGATGTCAGGGAGGTAGCAGAAGGTGTGGAACCCCGTCACCTCGCACCTCCTTCCTGAGCACGTGAAAAGCCGAGGGTTATTATAAAAAGTAATTTGTGTCCAGCTCTTAGGGGAGGGGTGCATATTTTCACACTCAGAATGTCACACTCCGAGTTTTCACCTAGTGCTGTTTCCTGCCCTTACGCATAAAGTGACTCACAAGACTTCCGGTAACTTCAGCGTCTTCAGAATGGGGGAACAAGCAGGCCAGTGGCCACCTGATGGAATTACACAACATGGCTTATTTTGGAGGAACGGAAAGTCAGGGTGAGGATGGTTTATCTCACTGGCCTCATGAGCACAAAAGTTATCCAGGCTAAACACAGTCTTTAATCACTCTGCCATTTACATCAGTACTTCTCCCCCGAGCTTCCAAATTCTCATACTTCAATTCTCTTTTTAGGAAAGCTACTTTTGACTTAAAAATTCTTCCTTCTGTCCATACTTTTCTACCACTTTTTCTTCTCATTGAATCATTTCCATTATCCAATAATAGAAATAGGATAGCATAAGGAGTTGAGGAGGTTTCCTAACTCAACCCAAAACCAAAGAGTAAGAAGAAAAATGGAAGACTCACACACCAGTTTCTGGGCTATAACTAAGAAAGCAGCCTGTCACCAAGTCCAATCAGTTAAATGAAGAAAGCTGTAGGTTGGCCATGGACGTTACCATCCAACTGAAGTCGTGATGACAC